AGTTTGACAAACTGGTTGTTGGAAGAAATCATTAGGGCAGAGAACCGGTTGTTAAATTACTTGAATCCCACCACTGATCTTATCCCCAACCATAATGACACACCTTAGAGTTTTCTTGAGCTGTTTCAGCTTTCCTTTATAAACCATGACAATTTTTCCATAAGTGCAATCTCATATGCTTTGCCATTTGGTTAATTTCTAGAGGTGAGATCCGCCAGATGACTGTTAATTATTTTTGGCTAAGACATTATCTCTCTCTTTCCTACAACTGCTGGTGCCTGGACAATGTTCTACACAGGGTCATTCTTTGAGCAATGAGACTGGGCTCTTCCTTATATCCTTATAGCCATTGGAAACAATTCCACTAGTAAAGTAGGAGAACCTCTCCTGTTTTGTTGGGCAGATTCTCCTCCTTAGCCAGCCTTGACTGATGACAGATCATCAGAATTGCAATTAAGAGATAGTTTCCAACCAGTTGCTGACAGAAAGGGGGCAGAAAAGCTAGATGATTTGATCACTTAACATTCCTGCATATCCTGAATCAGGACATCATCATCCAGTAGCAGGCTAGAATAAAGATTTTAACGGCAGGATTAAGGATTGGCAGTATGGGTACAACAAATGTTATAACAGTATGATTTTCTGAAAAGGGTAGCTAGAGAGTACCTTAACTTGGTTAGTGTGGAAAGCCACTTTCTTGGAACAATATTCCTGCAGAATAATTGGAAGAATTACTGAAATAATGTGAATGGAAAGACATTGTGTATATGCTTATTATTTGGTGCATTTTATTAAGATTATTTATTGAACAAAGTCCTGCAGATTTACTATAATGGGCCAGGAAGGCTTCAGGTTAGAAAACAATGGTTCTTGAGGCTGGAGTTCTGTTTTAAAAGAGTCTGAACAAACTCCTACAGTTGTCACTTCACCTGATTATTCTTTTTCATGCTTTCCTTTGCTCCAGGGGATGCAGAACACATTGCAGAATCTATAATAAGTTATTCCAAGGCAGCCTCCATGCTGATACCATGGATTTCAATTTCCATAGTTTCCCCTCCAGACTGTTTCTAACTAATATCCTCATTTTTGCAACACCCCCAAGGGAATACTTTTACACTACTCTCTCCTTCTGGGATTAACAGAAATTCAACTTATTAATGGAAAACAATTTCTGAAACTGTCAGTGGTTTTCAGAGCAAGTTTCTTTCCTTGTAGCAAAATTAAATAGTTGGTGAAGAAAAAAGTAATTTAATTCATTTTAATAGACACGTAGTACTTTGTGGTTTTCAGCCATCAACCAAAAGGTCTAAGAGAACTTTTTTTTCGTGGTCTATCCTCAGAATGCCCTGTACAATATTTAAACTAGAGTAGGAAACCTGCGGCAAAATATGCCTCTGTCCAATGTTATGTGATTTTTGTGCCATGTTGTAGATTCCAATAATTTCCAGGCTCTATCCAAACTTGATTGTCATCCTGAAATACACATCCAGCTGGTTCTTATCAAATAATCTGGATTTCTGCCTGGAAAAATTGTCCATTTGTATATTTAATTCAATGGCAAATGCAGAACAATTATACAGGTAAATATCTTTTTTTGGCAGACAGATTCATTTTCAGCCCCAGGGCTTGTCTGCCAGAAACCATCCACTGAATCTTTAAACTAGGAAACATTTGTGTCTGTTCCCCCCCCCATTATCCTACCCAACTGTCATTTCCCGCCCTTAATCATTTTATATAGTTTTTATTGGCCCTTTGAATCCAAAGTGTTTCATGGTTAATTATAAGCTGCTCAACTGTAATATTGAAGAGATTCCCAGGAAATAAATAGAGGAGTCATAAAGGTTACAAATTTATTTGTAACTAAGATCAGCATGCTAATGCTAACATAAAAGCAAGTATGAAATGTTGGTTACTTGAGTGGGGCAATCAGAAATGATCTACAACTGAGAATCTGCATTTTTGGGTTGGCATTGTGAATCAATATAAATGTCTTGGGAAATATAATCTATACAGCTTATGCAGTTTTTGAAATATGCAAATGAAAAGAGAGCAAGACTATTTGTTAATATGCTTTTGGACTGCCAAATTCAATTTTGTAGAGGCATTCATTCAACAATTTATCAAGCATTGTCAAAACATGCTTTTATAAACTGTATTAGTTTTAGATTGATTAGTGAGGGAGATGGAATTATATGGAACTGACAAGCAAAGATATAGCAAGAAATAACCAAAGCTATTAATGCACCAATAATGGTTTCCTAAATGATATTGTTTAAAAGAGCCTGTTTATTCAAAACAGAAGTGATGTTTCATTAAATCCACTTATCTTCAAGAGGATTCATCCGGGATATTTTAAACATCACCAGTCAAATCTAGGTTTGCAAGCTATGGTTGTAACAGAAAATTAGCCTTACAGGAAGCAAAAGCGATTGTACTTTAATCCTTTGCAAAAAGTACTTTAGTACTTTTCAGATGTAAATAGGGCATATTGGATGTATGGTAGGGTAGGAGATGGATTTCAGTCACATCTCTGACTACAATATGTTCAAGTTGGCTACTTTGTATATCATGAGGAATATAAGAATAATCAGCTGAACCTGTGATTAGTGTGAGCAGCTGTCATGTCAGTAGACTAGAGCATCCAATGTCAGCACTGTACAGATGCATTAAAAATGGTTAGGCATTTCTCTTCTTCCCCACTGACTAAAGGTTCACAAATACTGATAGAGTTTATATCTATTTCTGATGGGAGGAAATTGTCCTTTTCTGTCTGCCCCCCCCCACCCCCAAAGTCTTTTTGCCACACTTCTGCAATGAGGCTGGGAAATTTGCTGTCTGCAAGAAAGTAATCAGGATTACTGTCTGTACAGACAGCAAATTTCCCAGCCTCATCAGTAATCAGGATTACTTTCTGGATAGTAATTAGTTAAATAGTTCTCCCATTGTCTTCCCTTTTCCCTACAATGGCTACTATAAATTCTCATTGCTGGTTTGGAGGGAGTCTTATGTGCTCTTTATCCTAGATATTTGCTACTCCTATCTTTGAAGAACCAGTATTGCCAAAACATGCTGCTTAGAAGTGGCTGGACTATCAAAAGAACTAGCCACTTAGCCAGGGGAGCAGAATCAGCCTGCCTGGGAGGAACCATTGCAGGAGGTTCCCAGCTTCTCTTCCAATCTTAGGTGGGCAAACCACATTCTTAAAGTCCTACACCAGTCACACAAATCTTAGCTAATGGGAAATTTAGTCTCTAATTTTGGCTGTAGGTGTGACCTTAAAAAGAGTAACATTTGGTTTTAAAAATGGCCAGAGGTCCCTGGCTGGATGGGAGAGGCAATCCTGCAACAGGCTGGCTGAAAGTCTACAGAATGCCAACCTTAGGAAGAACTCTTCTTCAGATGAAACAAAACATTCATCTAGGAGATTTTTTTAATAGGACTTTAGGAATTGTCTGGAAAATCTAGGATTTACTTTACTTTGCAATGTATTTCAGATTCTGTCACATATTAAACAAAACAAGGTGGAAGAATGTAACTGCAGTTGACTTGGGGCCTGGAGGCATGGAAAGAAAGACACATTGGAGGGTGAAAACTACTAGAAGATCTGGGAACAACAGCCTGGAGATGTTGTGGTTAGTTTTGTACCAATGAGCAGATTCATTCTGATCCTGTGCTCTTTTCTACATCAGCGTCCAAAAGATGCTGGAGAAAGTCTGTGCTCCAGTGGTTTGAATCCTAGCACTGCATGATGGGGTGAGTTCCCATCACTTGCCTCGGCTTCTGCCAATTTAGCAGTTTGAAAGCATACTACATGCAAGTAGATAAATAGATTTTCCCACTTTGGTGGGAAAAATAATGATGCTTCATGTGGAAGTACAAATCCAACTGGTGCTGGACCTGCTCGAATGCCCTGCCCAAACATGAGGCGACATCAGTGGAAGGAAAAAGCCCAGGATGGATGCTGTAGGCCATTTTGAGTGTGGAGTTAGTTCGCCCCTTGTGGTGCACTCTGGATAGCACGTGAGCGTGAACCAAACGGACTAGCAATCTTAGGCAGCCAAACAACTACTCTGTATTAGCACTGTAACATTCTGGCCAATGTACCGTTGCCATATGCTAAATAAATAAACTTGAATGATATAAAACAAAATGGGTCACTTCAAAGGTTTCTTTTGAACAGGTTTCTTTTCTTATGTGCTTCTTTCCATTATGGCTCAAGTACAATAGAAATGTCAGACATTAACATGCCACTTGGTAATAAAACATATATCTCAACTATACAGAACATGCTGAGCCTTTTACAGAAAAACTGCAGTGTGCAGAAGGATCCGTGACAGAAGAATTCCAGTCTGTACCTCCAGATGCAAGTGACAGAAACTGGGGAAAAAGAGTGAGATGTATGAAAGTCTCCAAAGTGAAACTTGAAGACGAACGTGGAGGAAAGCAAAATGAAAGGCAATGTTCCAAGTTTTTGGTGAAAGCATAACTAGAAAATTTCTCTACAATATTTCAATTTGTGGCTTAATTCACAGAGTATTTTACTGTGTAAGAATGGACCCATGGGCTATGTTTATAAACCAGCTTTCTCCAATCTGGTGCCCTCAGATATATTGGACAACAACCAGCTTTCCCAAATTGTCATTTAAACTAAAGGACACCAGGTTGGACAAGCTTGTTGTAGACTAAAGATAATTAAAGGATCATCTGCTAGCCATTATATCATTGGCAACATTTCCTCACAAGTTTCAATGATTATTACTGTTATGGCTACTACTTTATTTCCAGTTGTCTTTTCTTACTATTCACTTTTGTTATTCCCAATTTTTATATTTTCATCTCCACAGTCCCTGAACATCTTTCTCCTGACCTAGCAATGTCTAGAGTCCTTTTATCTTTAGGACATCATTAAATTATTCTCTAGCTGATGCCAGCACTTCCAAATTTCATATAGATGGGAGAGTGTTGAGCTACTATTCAAAATTAAATCTCTATGCCAGCCCTTAGCGCTTAGAGTTTATTTATTAGTTTGTTCATTTCCCTGAATTGTTTAAAAGACTCACTAGAAGCATAAGAAAAACATCAGTGTTCTTAATTATCATCCTTTGAGTGAGTTAGCAAACAAAATACATGCACCGTGTTGGGAGGAAACATAATCAAACATATATCCCTGAAATAAAAGCAATTATTTTCTTAGTGATTTTGCACATTTCTTATACTGTACGTCTGATCTTCCCAAATTTAAGCCGACAGTTATCTTCTATACTTATCTTCTATACTTCAGTAACTAATACCACCCTCAAGCAGTGAAAGGCAGAATTAAATTTTCTGCCCCCAGGAAAATGAGAGTTCTTGGTTTCAGAAGGATAAGTAAAATTAAATACTTATGTTTTGTGGACATACTTGGAAATGTACTTCACACTGAAACAACATAGATTGGGGAAAAATATATAGCTTGAGTTAATTATTACCCCTTAAAGGAACATGTTATTTTTTGCACATTGTTTTTCAGTTCAGAATCCAATTTGTTTTTTACTATCTGCTTTGATGATGGAAGATTATTTACTTACTTTTATATTACAATTGTTACACTATCCATCTCTAAGAAATTGGGGCAGCTTCTAAGCACATCAAAACATTTAATAGTTGAATTATCAATAATAAAAAAGGAGAACACACATTCTTTTTTTAAAAAATGCACTGTACACACTATCCAGTGATTGCATGAATAGAAAAGGCCTATATTTTCAGGAGGTCTGAAGATTAAAGCATAGGTGGGCTTCTATTGAAAGAAATCCTGCGTGAAGAGCAAGCTGATTTAGAGAAAGTCATTCTGCCTACTATAGATGACCATGATTTAATTATGACATACTCAACTTCAAGCATCATGGATTGTATGGGAATAGGTTTTAATATAGTAATGCTAGCATCTTCTATGGCACCCAGAAGCATACTGTGTATTACTGGAGCATTGCTAGCAGTGAGCAGGCAAGTTTTTTTTTAAAAAAAATCAGCTTTCAAGTTATTTCCATGGCATCCTTTTCTTTCAGTCCAAGGCTAAGGCCAATGAGAGATTCAGAATGGAGATTTAAACCACAATAAAAATGAAATTATATTTAACTGGATGCAATGCACTGAGCCTTCCAATACTGAATTATCTCACTAACAAATGTATGCATGCTTACCATATGGTGGACCTAATAGAATCCTAAAAATCTCAAAATGAAATAACAAAACTTGATGATTGCTCTGAGTTCTTAGGTGTGAAGAGATCACTGCAACATTACCCATATTTGATTTGATTTAGGCTTAGTGTCTGCAATAGCCATAGAAATAAATATTTGGACTTAGAAAAACTGAAATAGTAAAAATCTGTATGCAATTTAATTATGTAGGTATCTGTATAACATTAGACACTACAAGGTTGCCATTTTAATGTAGAAATGTTACTGGTGGTTTTAGAACCATTTTTAACTGGACTAATCCCAATAATTGATCTGACCCGTGGGAAATTTTAAGTGTTTCCCACTTAAGTGTGTTTCTTATTTAACAATCACTTGGTTAGCAACTGTTTGAAGTTATAATTGTGCCAAAAATGGGGAGACTTTTGACTGGGTCCTTGTAGTTGCAACTGTCCCAGCAATCACATGATCATGATTTGGATGCTTGGTGGTTGGTTTGCAATTATAATGGTCACAGTTTCCTCTGTTCATGTAGCCACTATTTGTGACATTCAGTGCCAGCATTCGACAAGCAAAGAAGCCGGCAGGAAGTCACATATGGTAATCATGTGATGTCATGCTTAATGACCACACAGGAGTCACTTAACAACAGCAACCGGAACTGCCATAACTGCCAGCATGGTCAAGTGACATTGTGCTCAACAATTGTATTGCTTAGTGATGGAGTTGCTGGTCCCAATTATTGTAGTTAAGCAAGAACTACCTGTATAAGAATTTGATGTCACACAGAATAGAATTTTTACATATGATAAAAAGTAATCATGCTGTATTATCTCTTGATGGGTTTTTCATGTCATAATAAAATCTGAAATAATATTAATTCATTCTATTTGATACTGTAATATGCATCCTAAAATATAATTAAAAAATAGAAGGCCCAGAGGATTTTCCCAAGGCTGTTCAATTAGAATTACTATAATTACATACTTTTTTTCCTGTGTCTTCTTTAAAGCAGGTGCTATCTTATAACTGAAGTGACAGCTGAATATGATTCTTCAAAGATGAATGAGATGACACTGTAGGGAAAATCTGACATAGAAGAGAACTCTAGTGGAGAGGCAAGCTGTATGAGAATGGCTCTGAAAGAAAGCTTTGGGGAAAGCTGGCTTTGTGTGATAGATACTCACAGATGAATTGATCTTGTAGCTAGAATCTCTGGCTCAAAATAGAAACATCTTGACAAATATCACTGCGTACCCCCAATACCCTAATGAAAGTTTTCCAATGAACATTCCCCCATTTTCTTCTCTTTACCGTGTGCTCTGAACAAGACCGGGGCTTAGTTCCAATAGGAAATTGAACCTCACAAATGGCAGATTTAGCTCACAAGAAAATTGGTCTGAGGATACGCTGCAGACTTTTTTTTTTTTAAATCCCATTTCCCCCCTTTTGTTCTTGGCAGTCTCAAAATCCAGGCTGTTCAAGCATGCACTCATTTTTGCACGAAGGGTTTTTTTTAAAATAGCTTGTCAGGCTATAATGTAAAGTAGGTCAGTGTTCATTCAAAAAAAAAAAAAGTCTATACAATTCATTTGAATGTATGAGTGGGAAAAAAAGCTCCTTTTCAGTCTGTAAGCATGTTGTCCTTTATGGCATTTAAAGCACTTAATCCAGGAGGCTTATCCATGTGGGAAGAATGACGGGCATTTTATGTAACAGTCTTTATTATACATGCCCACCTTTAGAGAGGTAGGCAATCAGTGTTACAATCACTCCAACATATACCCCTGTGCCGATGGTAATTGAAAGTGCAGCGAGGAAGAGTGCTCGTCGAGAAGCTGAGCTTGCCTGGTGAAAGTCCCCCTTGGAGATGGCCTTACTTGTCTGGAAACAAACAAAGAAATACTTAGGTTACTATATTGTATATTATTCACTATAACTTGTTATAGATAATATCATCAGTTGTTTTTCAGCAAAGGACTCTTTCTTGTCTGCTGAAAATTAGTTCTGTCTGTGGCTGGATTAGATGAATAAAGCAATTTAATTCTATTATAGTCTTAGATTGAAAACTAATGTGAAGTTATGATTCTGGCGTAGACCAAAGAAACCCAGGTTCAATTCATCACTCAGCAATAAACTTGATTGGATTAGCTTGAGTCAATCAATATAACTAAGCTCACAGGATTCTTGTGAAGATTTTCTCTTTCCACTCATCTCATTTTTTAATATATAAATTATAAATCAATTGCAAGATAAATAAACATTTTGCAGTCTATCTGTCAATCAATATCACACATCCTGTCCAAGGATTAGAGATTAAAGTCTGGCTATGATTTCCAGGAGTGCTGAGAGCTGTTTGCTGGCTGCATTGCCAAATAATATGGAATGTTCAATTCCTCCCTGGTTCAACAAATATCTATTCCTTCAGTAATGGTATGTTATTGCTTCTACAAATATTTCTTTTCTTTCGAAATAAATTGATCCAATGTCACCAAAATACTTCTACGTTATGTTCATATAAGAAGCATAACCCAGACAGTTTCTTAATGACAGTTCTAGAAGCATTTTTAAAATGTGTAGGCCTATTCCAATTTGTCTGTACAACATGCAACAATTATAGCAGAATAAGACAAAACCAACCATCCAGAAAAAGGAATGCCAACCCTGTGTCCAGAACCAACCACTCAAGTCCAAGGCCTGGGAGAAGAACCAGCTTTTAAGGGCTCATTTGAATAGGGCTGGGGGGTGGGGATGCAAATCTCAGGAAGGGCATCATTTTAGAGGGCAGATACCACAATCAAGAAAGTCCACTTCCTGTAGTCCATCAGATAACCTTTTTAATTGATGGAACCCAAGGCTTACCACTGTATGTTGCCTGATAATATGAAGATGGGCAGAAGCTACTGAAGACAGTCCTTCATATAACCATTAGGCTTTATACCATGAAAGGTTTTATATGTGAAAACAAGCACCTGTCAGGGTTCCGACTCGAGAGCTGCCAGCACCTTGAATTACATCTGGAAGCCTACTAATAACAGAGCAGTTCATGAAGCAGAGGTGATAGGTAGAAATACTGTGGCATATCCATAACTGTCCATTCCATTGCATTCTGAACCAGCAGCAGCCTTCAAGTGGCTTTCAAAAATAGCTGCAGGTACGGCATACTGCAATAGTTCAAATGCAAATGACCAAACATGAGTGACAGTCTTAGGTGCCTCTCAGTCCAGGTATGGGTGCAATTGGCAGAATCCATGTCTATGTCTAGTAAATTTTCCACTTGGGAGGTCTTCTGCTGGGATAAGAGAGAAGGCATTATTTCCCTACCAGAACCTGTAAAGCCAACTTTGGGCTGGATGTGGATGACCCTAAAGTCTATCCTCTTTGTGGTTTAAATGGCTGCTAACTAAATTTTGTGTCTTATATCTCCTTTTGCTAATTGGTCATTGTAAATTATAGTTGGCATTTTGGGTGAGAGGTATATGGGCCTCAGTGCGGGTTCATGCAGAGTGAGCAAGACTATGTCACATTGATGGGTAGAGCTAGGCTCAAAACAAAGGAAGAATACTGACTTATGTCTTATTTTGGCTATCATTAGTTCTGAGGTAACAAGTACCCTGTTTTCCCCCAAATAAGGCATCCCCTGATAATAAGCCCAATTGGTCTTTTGAGCACATGGCAATAAGGCCAAGCGCTTATTTCAGGGTTCAAAAAAATATAAGACAGGGTCTTATTTTCGGAGAAACACGGTACGCATTTATTCACTACTGATTCTCTTTCCTGGAGCAATTGGGTTGCAGTGTTAAAAGGTTTTACCAGTAGGCTCTTTTATTGCTCCTCTCTAATGCATTTTGTATATCTGTGTATGTCTATGCATGTGAGTTGGATCCAGACTCTTATAGATAAAAGGTTCTTTCCTTCCCCAAGAGGTTTTTCATTTAGAGGCCCCATTGATGGAAAGAAGGAGGTGATTTTGACTGACTCTCTTTTCCTGTTTCTAAATGGAGGTTTAGAAGAGAGGAGAAGGTAATACTGGGGACTAAAAAGGAGAAAAGGAGGTAAGAAAGGTGGCTTTCTCTGTTTTTTTCCTAGTTCTTGGTACCTTTCTGAATAAACTCTCCATTCAAACACTATGGCAGTAATGCAAAAGAATTTGCATTCAATCTATTGCTTTTTGAAATGATTGTTGTATAGCTTAATGTTGTATTATAAATAGTTTTCAAACTACACATTATATAATAAAAATTCTATATATAAAGTTAAGTTGAACCTTAGCATGCCCCATATTTAAATACTTTGCAAGACTAAAAATAATGCTTACATATAATTCTTGTATTTATATATTATTATTTCTTAGATTTTAATTTCTCCAGAATCAATCTGATAGCATAATTCAGTAGAAATCAATTGGCAAGAACATGTAAAAAGTAACCTTCATATTGCAAATGTTTTAGAGAGCCAGTTTGATCTCTCAATTAGAAGGCAATTAGAAGCAAGAAGACTGAGTCTTAATCCTGCCTCAGTAATGAAAGCCAATTGGGTTACTTTGGGCCGATCACTCTCTTAGCCCACAATGTCAGGCTCAAGATGGCAAGCTGGTCAGTCAGTTCCTGTCACAACCAATAAATCAACACTTGAAATATGTAGAGATTCTCAGCCATCCAGATTATGATTGTCCCAAAGGTGCTTTTTTTTCCCAAGACGCAACTGGACTTCCTTGTTTTTCTTTGAAGACATTTTGCTTCTCATCCAAGAAGCTTCTTCAGCTCTGACTGGGTGGTTGAGAATGGAAGGATTTATATTCCTTGCAGACAGCTGGTCATTTGCATCCTTTTTTGAGGGTCTTTGAAGCACTTTGATGTTTAACTGTGTCCTCAGGGTCACCTGAGTAGTGCAATCTGTGACCCTGAGGACACAGATACACATCCAAATGCTTCAATGACCCTCAGAAAGGATGCAAATGACCAGCAATCTGCAAGAAGTATAAATCCTTCCATTCCCCACCATTCAGTCAGAGCTGAAGAAGCTTCTTGGATGAGAAGCGAAACATCTTCAAAGAAAAACAAGAAAGTCCAGTTGCCTTCTGAAAAAGCACCTTTGGGACAGATCAACACTTGGTTGATTTGATAAAAGCAGACCCTGCACTTGCAAGAAAATGCTAGGAAGAAGATATTGCAAATGTTTTAAACTGCTTTTATTTCCTTCTGCAAAATTATCATATAGCAGAAAGGTAATTTTATAATCCTGGAGTCCCTCCAGTTGATAGCCAACAGTGTTGACAAATCTTACAGACACTTCCTTTGGAGCACTTCTTATTTTTACATTTTTAAAAAAGTAAACAGCAAATTAGCAGATCAGGAAAGCAGCATTAGCGGCCATTATTTGAAGATCTCAAAACAAGCTCTCTAAATTTCAAGCCCAGTGTCCCAATTTTGGAGACAACAGTTATATTCTGCTGACATCAGTCAAACATTTTGTAAGCGTCAGAAAGGAAATTACTTCTTAAACTGAAAACAATGAATATAGTGGTGGATAAAAAGAAACAGACAAACTATTTTACCTCTCTGGTTAAAAAGATACAAGTGCACTTGTTAACAATCAGTCTTGGAACCTATTAAAAAATCTATGAAACAAGAAGTTGCTAGTAAAATCTGTGAATGGTACCAGGCCTATTAAGTACTAGATATTAAATAAAATGGAATAAAATAATACATTGCTGTGGGACAGTGTTACAGTAGTTAATAATGGTACCTGGGAGAGGAGTTTCTCTTGCTCAGCAATGCAATTGTACAGCACTATGTCACATGACATCATGCCTTAGTGACGGCAATCCCTGCAGTCCCCACTGCCATTGTTAAGTCAGCATTGTGTGTGGTTGTCCTTGCAACTTCTTGCTAGCTTTCAACCACCAAGTAGGAAGCCAGCAGGAAGTTGAAAGTTGCAGGTGCCTCGCAAACAGGCTGGCAGGCAGATTGGGGCTGTGCAAGGTTGTGTCAAGCAAGGGGCTGTGACAAACACCTTAGAACCACAAGTCTGTGGCATGAAACCCCAGAGTTGCAGCACCTTCCATGCTGATCAGGATGGTGACCCCAGGAAAGAGTAGTCAGGGAAAGATGAGGAAGGTGAGCTGGGGGGGCAGCAGGGGGTATGGATGTAAATGCAGGCTGGCTCAAATTTTTATCACATGATGATGGGGGCATTGCAACGAGCTGAGATGGCGCAGTGGTTAGAGTGTAGTACTGCAGCTACTTCAGCTGACTGTTAGTTCAGCAGATCAGCAGATCAAATCTCACCGGCTCAAGGTTGACTCAGCCTTCCATCCTTCCGAGGTGGGTAAAATGAGGACCCGGATTGTTGGGGGCAATATGCTATTTAGCATACTGTCTTTGGTGTAAGCCGCCCAGAGTCCTCGGAGAGTGGGTGGCATAGAAATATGAATAATAAAAATAATAATAAATAAAATAAAAATTCAAGATTCAGTCACAACTCCATTTTTTCAGCACTGCTGTAAGTTCAAATGGTTGCTAAGCAAGGACTACCTGCATATTGATTGATTGATTTGTATGCCATCTTTAATATTTTTATAAAATATTTTAACAAGGTGGCAAACATATCCAACACACCTTCCTCCTATTTTCCCCACAACAATAATCCTGTGAGGTGGGATGGCCTGGGAGAAAGTGACTGGCTCAAGGTCACCCAACTGGCTTTCATGGCTAAGCGGGACTTGAACTCACGGTCTCCCACAATCTAGCCTGGTGTCTTTGACCAAACTTGCTTATTTATCACTTATTCAAGCACTTTCCATCCTTCTATTTTAAATATTACATATTCACACTATTTTTATTATCATATTTGAGACTGAAGAGGAAAAAACGTTTTACTAAAGGATAGTCACCATTTGATTACTAACCTGCTAACATCTACTTTATACGATTTTTCAAAGTTTATTTATAGTTTTGAATACAGAAATATTGATACACTGCATAGGTTGTTGTAGTCTTTTTTGAAAAGCAATTAGCAGTTTTTCACTGCCTGCCTTCAATTTTAAATGGATGTTTCCTTTATGAAAGGCTTGTGATGGAATATTATCGCTGTGCAAGGCTGGAAGAAGCTGATATTTTACTTCTGGTCCCAAATAATTTTTCAGGAATGGTGCTTTGATATGAGCAAATTATATGAAAAGGATTATTAGTTCCGACAGTATATTATTATAATGCTTACCTTTATTATAGCAGCCCTATGGTAAAAACGTCTTTTGGTATTTTGTTTTTAAAAAGTCCAGTTTTTTGGACTATCTTTGTTTTGAACACCCTGAACATAATTGGTCAGAATTCCTTTAATACAATATAGTGTCTATCCTAGAAGGCTCCAGATTACATTAAAATGGGGATGGGAAAGCTTGTGGTTTAGGGCTATGTGCAGTCCTCAGTGTAAGTTTATGCAGTTGTAGACTCATTTCAAAAAAAAAAAAATGTTGCTAGCTGTTTCAATTTCTGGTAACAGAGATCTATTCTTATTTCTTGACCGGCAGGGAAGAAAAGAGAGGGAGAAAGATACATGCAGGTGTGTGTTTGAGAAAAAGAGGAAAATAGGTTTAGTCCCCTTCGGTTCCTCCCTGTCCACTATTGGTTTCATGTCTTTTCCATACCTGCATGTAACTCAGACAGATAACATTCCTGAGCATGAATCTCAAGGCGAGCAAATGACAAATACACATCGGGACATTATGACACAAACCCTGCCTCTTTAAGTATTTGCATGCAACATCAGAAAGCAAGTAAGAAAGAATGGAGTTTGGGTCATGATATACATTACATCTTTTTGATCTCACAGAGGTTAGATATACAGTAGATGCCAATGCTCTTCAGGATATAAAGCCCACAGTACAATTTTTTTTTCTTAAAGAACAGTTGATAAATCCTGTTTATTAACTTAGATCCAAGCAGATATCTACTGCAAAACTGAGAAGTCTAATATTTCTCTCTTGTTCAGAAACAGACATTGCTCATTAGTCATGAGAAGAAGAAGATCTGAGCCTTCTACAGAGCCAAGTCAGGCGGAAGTAACACTAGAGCAATTATTTCATTTATATATTGTTCACCAGCATAAGTAGCAACATTGTGAGGGTTTTCCCTGTCACTCATTGACTCTAGCTATGCTTTTTTTTAAAAAGAAAAAAAATCTATACAGGGAACATTTTGCATCTCAGAAAAATTCCAAGTAGTTTTAGATTAGATTTACTACTATGAAATAGTTGTGGTATAATGAGTAGTGAGACTTGGCAGCGTTCATATTTAAAAACATTTAATAAGCAAAGACTAGTTTCATACAAGCATATATTAATAGTTGTGAATTCTTACCCCTTGAGAAAAACAGAAGGCAGCAATTCCCAGGGGCCAAAAACAGCAGAGCATTGAGAAAATGGCTAAGCCTAGGTGGTCTCGTGGAGGAAGCATCAGAAAATTATCTTCACTCTCACTGTCACTTGAAGAGTCACTCTAGAAAGTAAATTAATTTGAAAACAATGACCAATTGCAAACTGTACGCTTGCCCCACAAAGCATTCAGCAGGACTAGAAATCCAAATACTATGGATGTTTAATGTTGTTGTCAGCATTTCTCCTGATGCCTGGTAGGCAAATAATTTTCACTTGGCAGGAAACTTCCCAAATGAGGAATATAGTATTGTCTCAATATTTTATTGATTTGGGTGGATTAGGCAGATATCCCAGACTCTTCTAGAAAGATGGCATAATAATAATAAAAGAGATCAAGTTCTGAAAATCAATAGTTGAAAGATTATGGCATAAATTGGCCCTGGTGGTGCCCGTGGTTATCAGCACACTGGGTGCCATGTCAAAAAATATTATATGGCACTTAGAAAACCTGTGCATTGATAACATTTCCATCAGTCAATTGCAAAAGGTGACACTGCTTAGATCCACATATGTACTATGCTGATGATACATTATGATATTGTAGGTTCTTGGGAAGAATTCGATGCATATGATGGGATCTCACATTTTTGAATATATAAGAATAATAAAAGATATGCATCAAGTAAGAACATATAAAACAGAACCAAAACATGCCAGACAAAAACTTACAGGAGCTCACCTACCACCCTGTTCTAAGGCCTGGGAAAATAGCCAAGTTTTCAGTGCTTTATGGAACATCTTCAGGGTGAGAGTCATATTACTATTCCAGAGGGCAGGTGTTGCAACAGAGAAGGCAGTAAGTCCAGCCCAAACTCAAGGAACAGAGTCAACCTCCAGGCTCCAGGATTCTTACCTGCCACATAACTGACATTAATATGAATAATCCACTGAGAACAGAGATCTAAAAGATGGTATTTGGCACAGTCTTCACCAGTGGTGTCCCTCTTAAAAATGAAAATACCTGACATTGCTAGGGAAGCAGTTATGCTATCAGTAGGCTGACTGAGAAATTTCTCCTTGGCTTCAGTCCATAACTTACTTAGTTTGAAAGTCTAACTGTATTTTATAGATTTTAGTCGGATTTCATTCAGACAATATTAGCCTAACGATTTTCAACAATTACAGGTAATCCTCAATTTATAATCCAAATTGAGCCCAGAATTATGGTCATAAGTGGTAGAAGTTATTAAATGAGGTGCTAACATGATAACCGCACTTAATGACCATAATACTGATTTTCCCCATTGCGGTTGTCAAGCAATTGCATGAGTTGTTAAGTGGAACACAGGGTGCCTTAGTAGGTGGGAGAGACACTGGGATGTGGTGTAGGCCTGCACTGCAGCATCTCCAAAGCTCACACATGGCCTGCCCCAGGCCTCCCAGGACCTCCACCACCACCTGAGGCACTGCTCACACAGCTTCCCATTCTGTGGGTCCCATACCCTTGGGCTTCCCCCCATCACACCTTGCTTCACTTAGTTTTCCAAAGATCACCTTTTCCAATGAGAAGCAGCTGATCTACCATGTGGCTTTCCTATACAGAGTTCACCTTTTGCCCTCCTTTAGTGGCTGCTTCCAAAATGGCACCTACATCTGGGATGGCACCCTGTGGCTTCTATATGGGAAGGTCATATGGTGATTTGGCTACTTCTCTTTCTAAAAGGCTACACAGCAGATTAGCCTGCTCTCCTTGGGCAGAAAGATGATCTTTGGAAAACGTATGTGAAGTGAGGCATGATGGGGAATTTTTCAATTAAAGCTGAAAACCAAAATACAATGAAGTAATAGGCTGAATAAAATAAGTAAAAATAATAAAACGTCAGAGGAAGTTTTCAGAGGAAGGCTGCTTCAGAGTGTGATCCTAGTAGAGAAAAATATCAATTCCTTGCTGTTTCCCAAATTTCCTGTCTGGTTAGAATCCAATGTTAGCAGACAGTGCTGCAGGCATCTGATGCCTTGTAGGGTTTTATTGACCAAACTAGGGCTGTAAACTGTTTTCACAAATCTAGACCATCCAGTGCAATAATGGGCTTTTATTTGTTAACACACATGCTCCTTTTTCTGCTGAATCTACCAACAGTTTATTTATTTATTTATTTATATTTATTTATTTTGTCAAGCATTTATTTTATGACAGATACAAGTGTAAACATAATTATAAATACATGAAAAGGATACAAATAAAAGAAAACATTAGGACAGGGACGGTAGGCATGCTGTGCCTGCTTCTGTCATTCCATGACCAAAAAAAATATCTTCAGGCTCAACCCTCTGGTCCTGCCAACCTGCAAATCTTCACTTATCCAACCACATATGTTTGATACTCTTGGGCAGGCATTTTTTTAAAAAACCACTTAGACTAGCCTTTTCCCCACTCATACAAGCACCCATATCACTCTCATATCTCACTTCCCATTCTTTTCATTAATAAAAATATTTTTGGAAGCTCATCCTCCCACTCTACTTTCACTGGAACTGACCAAGATGGATTTCTCTACCTCCCACTTCTTTTACTTGTGAGGAGATGCTTTTTTCTTGTCCAATCTCTAAAACTGTGCATCATCAACCCACCAATAGGTCCTTTGCCTTTCCCTATAAGATTAGGTAACACTCACCTAACTAGCCAAAGGCTGCCTTTTCCAGAATATAAAATGTGTCTGTAGGTAAACAAGTAATCAGAATACAAAACTATTCCAGTGCTAATGATGGTGTGTAAATAAGGGGAAAAAAGAATTTAATGTTATATCAGGAGCAAAGATATTTACATATATGTCTTCAAATAATTTATTTCAATTTTTATGGGCATTCTTTTAAGAATTCCCATGATTCGAGCAGAAATCTGGCCTCTAGGAAAATAAAAAAAGGAAGATAATGTTAACAGCTTGAGTTGTACTTAATATAGTAGGTCTTTTATTGCTTTATAACTTAGTGTCAAATATATGGGTTAGCAAAATTTTCAGCTTCTTTCATCTAAACTTGCTTTCTAATTATTCATACTTAGTGTCACAATCTTTTGTTATTAAATAACTGTGTGAACTAGTAACACAGAAAATTACAATGATAATAATAATAGTGATGATCATGGTAATAGCCATACAGAAACTATGTAAGAACAGTACTCACTGCCGTCAACTTCCTCTCCTGATGTAAAGCAGTTGGCATTCTATTGATTTTTCTTTCTTCCCATTGAAACCTGCTTCTTCTGCATTACCTTGCTATAATATTTCTAGGACATCTATTATTACCTTGGCATTTAAGTACAGTAGCATTTTCAGCCTCCTAGTTTTCCTTTTATGAAGTATTTTGCAGACCTTCCCTCCATACTTTCATTTGACCTTCTTTCCAGCTGCATTTTTACACACTCCCCCCCCCCTACTTAATACTGTAGTTTCATACTGGGAGGAAAAATGGATTTTATAATTTCTGTAAGCCATATCCTCTCATTCCCCTTAGTTGGGGGCAAAATGCTAACATTAAGAGTTCTTGAATTAAAGGGTATTTTTGTTTTTCCTCTCAAGCTGAATGCTCAGTTTATTAGTCAGGGATTTGGGATTTCAATGGAAAATTATTTTTCTGAATATGGGTAAAATAGAGCCATTTTTCATTTTTAAGTACATTCCACATTTAGATTCTAAGGTCCTAAGCTACTAAAAATTCAACTTAGTCATGTTATTCTTAATTAATTATGCTTTAATTTCTAATTCTCTGAAATAAAGGAAGATGTCTCTTGGGTAGAAACAGTTATTGTGCTATATATAATCTCCATTTTGTCTATTATTATTGTTTTTATATTAAACATTTAGAATTGTTATTTAAAAATTAGTACTAAGAATGTGTACTCAGAAGTTTCTGAGTGTACATTATGAGTGTAACCTTAGAAATTTACCTCATATTCCTGCAATTCCTCTTCCTCTACTTCATAAGATACTGTCTGGATTTTGATATCATTTTCCATTAGAGATCTTCCCTGTGTTTCTTGCTCATCAGAAACATCAACGGACGGGTCTTTGTTTTCCATGAAGGTTGTCTCACAATTGTCACCTTTGTTGTCCTTTACTTTGACACTGCTTTCATCCTTCACCAGAATGAAATTTGGACCATACAGTGCTTCAACAGCTAGTTGAAGAGAACTGGCATCCAACAACTGGTGTGTCCTTGCATTACCTGAATTTTGGAAGATATAGGAATATAATTTGCCATGACAACGATGACCGTGATAATCCTGATGATAAGTACAGCTACCATGAAGGTGTCCATTGTTCTTGGCCAACAGTGGATTCTGAAGTTCACTCACACTTTCCATTTTCCTCAAAAACTCAATGGCAGATGCTTCTAAGATAAATCAATGTTCTGAAAGAAAACAAACAAATAAAAGGCCAATGATTCATAAATTATAGAAATGAATTAAAGAAGTCAGCAATGATTATATCTATACTAAAGTCTGTACTAGTGGAAATCCAAGGACTGCAGTCAGATAGTTTCTAGATTGTACTTGACACTTAGCACTTGCGCAATGCCCTTTAGAGAAAAATTGAGGAAGCTCACTGTCTAAAATAAGCATCAACCTTCCTTTCTTTGTTCTTGTTCAAAAGTATTATTAAAAAGTATAAAATACAGAAGAACAAGTCATGATGAAAAGAAATCAACATGGCTTTCACAGAGGAAAATCATGTCATACTAACCTTTTTGCTTTTTTGAATGTCAGTGTAGACATGGATAATCAAAGAGTTATATGCTTGAAATTTTCAGAAAGCCTTGGACAAATCTCAAGTGCCACAGGATTGTAGTGCATCTGATTAAAAAAACAGAAAGGAGGAATAAATTGGCACTTTTCAGATGAGATTGTAAAGTGGGTTTTCTCATAAAAGTATGTAGTGGCTTGTTATACATGTGACTTGTGTGTGTGTGTGTGTGTGTGTGTGTGTGTGTGTGTGTGTGTATAAAGTTTAATCGCTTTGGGTTTAGGCTGCTATTGGTTAGTTCCAGGTCTGTTTGTAATAAGATCACATTTGTTTACAAGCTGATTGTTCATAAATGAGCAGACATGGCATGAATTATCAAAATGTACTAATGCTTACTACCCAGGTATGGCCTTGTCCAAGATTTCCTTCTGGGTTTGGGGCTCTTCAGCAGCCACAACTCCAAAGCTTAACCAGAGTGCTGTTTGACAAATGATGACATTGATTACTTTATAGCAAAAGTTACAGATCTTGCTCATGTATTTCTCCCCTGCTGCTCGGCAAGTTTCCTTACTGAGCTCCTCAATCTTATTGCAAATTTCCTTGATGAAGGTGGGGTTTGGTAGGAATCAAGAATTCATGGCCTCAATGGCAACTATGGGATTGTCCCAGATAATTTCTGGCCTAATCCATATGGGTAGCCATATTTGAATCTTACATTCGTCTTGGAGGAGTCGGCTTGTGATCTGGAGGATGTGCCATCAGTTTTTGTTTCAAATGAGGTTTGTTGCAATCTGTAACTTCATCTGATATGGAACAATTAAGATAGTCTGATACAGGTATTTAATGGACCTGGATAGGTTTCACTCAGCAAGGCAGGATCTAGAGAGAGTGACTTATAATGTAACTGGAGCAACATCTTGAACCTGGGAGCATTTTTGCTTGTGGATGGTGCTTGGCAGCTTGAATTCTATCATGTATCAATTGGTTCTATGTCCCTCTTGCCTTGTTCAGTCACTTAGGGCAATGCATGATCCAGGAGGGCTTGCTTGCTTGCTTGCTTATTTATTTACTTACTATGCCATCCATCTCCCCATAACACTTCTTTGGGAGAAGTGTTGCTTCCAGCAGCCTTGAAGGAGGTTGCTGTGTGTCTTTCCTAAAAAAGCCTTCTTCAGATCCAGCAATTGGACAACTATTGCTCCATTTCAACTTCGTCTTTTGGGTAAAGTTTGGGGGTGTCAGTTGGAGAGCACCCTAGCTAAAGTGGATTATTTGTTCCTCTTTAAGTTCAGACCTAGACTTGGTTGCTTTGGTAAATAAATGGCTAGGGGAAATTCAACTTTATATTTCTTGGCAATGTTTGATACGGTATTATTCTGGACCACCTATGACAATTGAAAGCAGGGGTACTATTTTGTAATACTTCCGAGACTTCTTGAACAAACAACATCAATCATTGTGGGTGTCAGCCCTTCAAGGTAAGCCAAATCAAGAAACAGGCTCCACTGAAATTCCAGGAATGCTATTTTATTGGTGTGGGGTATATTAACAGAATCTTTAAAGCCTGTTGAAATCCTTCACTGCCTCTTTTTAAGACAACAGTCAAAGCAGAACTTTCTGAGTCTCTAATGCCTTCTCCTTTCCCTGGATTGAGCAACTGTTTCCCCACTCCCATCTTCTTCTCAAGGCCAGACTTAAAACACCTGTACAGTGGCAAGAGGGTGATATAGGACTCAGCTCTCCGATCCTTGCTTTTTAATATCTATGGGAATTCACTTGAAGAAGTCATCCATTGATTTGGAAAGAGGTATCATTGATATGCTAATGACAGTTAGTTGCACATTTCTACTCTAGGCCAAACTGTAATCTTGTCCTGATGTCTAGAAGATGTGGATGCCTGTATAGGACAAACTGAAAGAGAACATACTGGAATCCATCAGTACTGATTTTGACTCTAATGGAATGATATTCCCTCTGAAAGACCAAATCTATGACTTGGAGGTTCCCCTAGAGTGGCTACTGCTAGAGATGCAGATGGGACATTGTAGCCAATTGTTACAGTGAAGTTTGTGAGTATTGCCTTGTGTTCCAATGGGCTTCCAGGTCCAACTGAAAAGCCGGTTTTAACTATTAAAGCTTATGTGACTTGACTCCCAGAATTGCCTCCAAGTAGAACTGTCGTAACCTGTTTCTCCCAGAAAATGATATTCAAGATCTCTCCAATTCGTGAAATTTGTAGAGGAGTGACCCAGATACAATGCCTCTCTGTGCATAATTCCTTTCCCCTGGCACAAGGTCTACCTAGAGGTGAGGCTGGTGGGTACTCTGCTTTTGTTCAGGATGGCTGTGAAAACTGTGTTGTTTGAAAACACTTTGGGTGTAGGATAGTTGCCATCAGATTACGGATAGAACTCTCAATATAAAATATACTTTCTACCTTAAAAAGGATATTATAGAGTTAAAAAGGCATCAAAATGGCATCCAAAATATTTAGGGACCTGGAACAGCTACCTTACAACTGGCAACTAGAAACATTTAGTGTAGCATTAAAGATGGCAAGGAGAGATATAACAAAAGTCAATAAAATCAGCATAGCACATAGATAAATAAATACAGAGAAGTGGTTTCACTTTCATCCTTCTCTCACAATGTTAGAATTCAAGATCGCTCACAAACTAAGTACAAGGAGACTGGATCAACAGAAAGAAATCTATTTTCATATAGCACATAAACTGTGCAATTCACTGTTAGAAATTTTGGTAAGGGCAGCCAGTTTGGAGAGCTTTATGGAGAATCAGGTTACCAGTTCCTACTCATATGGATGCTTATTTACCCTTTTCTGAGTGTAACAATTATGTAATAAATACTGGTTGCCTACCCATCCATGCATATGAGTTTTCCAAATGGCACTAGGATAGGCAGAATTCTACACACATTGGACCTATATGTTGTAGTCTGGTTTGATGAAACAAGGATCCAATTGTCTGTTACAAACCCAAGAGAATGAAGAGCCCCTTTGGCTTCTAAGGTTTAGTTGGAGACAACATATCATAATGCATTTGACAGGTTCCAAGAAAAAAAAATGCTGGAAGTTACTAAAGTCTGCCTGGTGGTAGAACTATAGCTGAGGATTTTAGCATAAACATTTCTACTAATGGTGTGATTTGAAAGCACTATTGGTAGTAGAAGTAGAGCCTTGAAGGTTTGTTTGAAAAAAAAGTTACTGAAGTAGTTAGTGCATTTGGAGATTATGAATTCTTGGCACATTAGTCCTTTTCTTTAATCTTACATTTAAAATGAATGGTTTACTTCTGTCTCCTCTCTTGCATTTCTTTAGATCATCCAATGTCATCCCAGGAATGTCCAGGTCCTACATAACTTTATATCAATTTCTTGCAAGCACCTTATTTAATATTATATCAGAAACTGATAAACAGGCCATGAAAATGCTTCAGGGGAACAACAGATCTGAAATGTACAATACTGAAATCCATTATCAAAGGGCTAAAGATCTGGGCTACATGTTGCATAGTGCTTTGAGAACACAGAAAAAATGGAAAGTATAGTCATTAGAAAGTGGAGCAAAGTGTGGACTTACCTTAGTTTTGATAGAAAATGACAGTGTTTGGCAGCATAATTGGGCATGGGAGCTTGTACTTCTCTTCTAGCTGCCAGAATATTGTCTGAACACAGACTTTATTTGAGTTCTTATGCCAGCCTCATTATGGCAGGTAGTGAAATCAGACTATGAATCATAGGAAAAGATGAGAAGGTCAAAGCTATCATGATGGTTAGAATGTGTTGAACATTGCCCTTTCTTTCTGGCAGCTTGGGATGGAGAACAGTAGTTGATATAAATGCATAGTGCATTCTTTATGTTGGATCATAACTTCCTGCAGAGTTACAGTGAATGGCAGATGGTCTCGGCACAGATTTGAGTCTGGCATCCCCTGAAGAAACCTTCTATGCATGATAAACAAGTGAGGCACACAATGAATTACAGCCCTTTCAGTTGCAATTGGTTCCTGTAAGCGTGATCTATTTTGCATGCTAAAGGACTGCTAAAGAGTTCTTCAGTGCTAATGGACTACTAGAGAGTTCTTCAGTGTTTTGACAGAAACTTGCAAGGAAAGAATAGAAATCAAGAAAGAAAAGGGAATGAAAAGCTGCTTGAAATGAAATCATCTTCTATCTGTGCCATGGTGCATTTATAACAAACATCCCCTTTGCAGTGACAGTGCATATAAATTATAAGAAATGCATATTTGGGGTGCCTTTTTGTTGAGCTTGATGACATCAACATATCATATTGCATATTATTGTAACATTCTAAGAATTGTAATTCATTGGCAAAGCCAATGTATTTAAGTAGGGCTGGGAAAACCAATAGCTATAGTATTATGTTCTTAAAAAAAAATAGTTGTGATCATACAGGCCCACTTTTTTAAAAAAAAGGCAAAATCAAATGGGAGCCAACAGAAAGATAGCTAGTTGCACAGTAGGACAAGATTTTGAGTGTTTTGCACACATTCTGATTAGTTGGATGGCCCACAATTGCTTTGGCAACTTGTGATTTTAAGTATGGGAAAAATATTTTTGGTAATGGGCAAATGGGATTTTTTTAGAAGAGTCTCATCCACTAATTTTTAGTCAATTACTAAATTAGCCTATTAAATACAGCGTTTTTTAATGTAGCCATGTAAAAAGGTTCCATCAAAATAGGGCTTATACATTTAAAATAGCAAGAGTGGCTACAATGAGAACTTTGTGCTTATCTTCAGCAGGAGCAGAATTACAATTCATGACAATTTACTATTATATTGTCAAATATCCAAAGATATCCAACTGTCAGCTCATTGTAAACAGGTTTCAGAAAGAAGGCAGGAAAAGGACTTAGACAATAACTTTTATATAAATGTAAATTTTATTTTAATAAAACATTAGATCAGCTATTAAGCGAAATTGCTTATCTGTAGAATATGAATCAAAAGAAGTTGGAGAGGAATGCCTCTTGTTCAAACAATTGTATATTTTAACAAGTCCTTGGCAGCTGGGTTTATGACAATTTCCTGCCAGCATTGTCTTCAATTGATATAGATGGGAAATTGTT